CCCGGTCTCACCGATGGCCCTGCGGAAGTTCTCCATGAGCACCTCGGTCTTCTTGATCTCCGTGGAGTACACCTCACTGCCCACCATGGGGCAGAAAGGCACCTTGTTCCCCAGCTCCTGAGCCATGGCCAGTGCCAGAGCAGTCTGTCAAGAGAGAGGGGCAACGTCCAGTAAGCACCAGATAGGTCCGAGCTTATCAAAGCTACAACTTAGAACAGATCCTTCTATAACAGAGTAACAGGTTAATCAAACAGGTTGTACAAACAAGCGTACACACAAGAGACAAATGCATTCACGCACAAACATGTTAACTGCACACAATTGCTCCAGTCCACAAGGGCCACAGGTCAGGCCGAGAAGCACGGCATGCTGGGAGCAGTAGTGCCTGACACCACTCAGGTTTCTGCCGGAAAGCTCGTTCAGTTCGCACTCATGTCAGCTGTCGGGTTAAGGGAAGGAAAACATGGCTACGGAGCTGATAATATTATAACGCTAAATGTATATATAACAGATATGTATGGATTTATCATGGTGGGTAGAGAGAGAATCCTGCTCCTACAAAAACCTTATGTTTCCATTTTTGCCCCATTCTGTTAGTACACAGGGTGCTGCTGCTGTGATCTCCAGTTCTCCCCCCCAACAGTTACCTTCCCAGTTCCTGGGGGTCCGGCCAGCAACACCGCCCTGCCGGCCATCTTCTTGCAGCGGATCAGTTCCACGATGATGCCGCAGGCCTGAAAGAGAAAAGGTGGCAGTTCAGTTCCAGTCCACGAGCAGAGGAGGGGAAGGAGTAGGGGAGGGAGTGGACAGCCCACGCAGGGGGAAAGACGAGAGGACGAGAGGCACAGAAAGCAGACTGGCTGTTCCTCGCCTCTTCGTACCTGCTCTGTCCTTCCTCTCCTGTGCCCTGTTTGCGGGTTTCCCTCTCTCCCTCATGACCGGAGAAGGCTCCACAGCTGAAAAGCTGAGTTTCTTCTCTTTGCCCTTCTGTCTGGAACGAACCTTTACCTGTGTATTCGGGCCCGACACACGGCTGCAGAGAAGTGCTAACAGCCCCAGAGAGAGACAGCCCTGACAACATGAGATGTGCTGTGTGGAGCTTTGACCTACAGCAACACAGGACCCTGGAGCTGCAGGAAACTTGGGGGGGTTGGAGTGGTGCCAGACACGGACGGGGGTCTGAGTAACTGCATTCGCCCCAGTAAAAAGCACAGCTGAGACGCCCCCTGGAGGACGGCGGCTGACCACACACCCGCACACTCCGTGTTCCGCTACACTGCCACCGGCTACGTCTGAGAAGCCTGGCCCGATAAAAAGGAAGTATTTTAACCCACCCTAACCCTTCAATGAGTAAACCTCAGAGCATCCAATTTTCAGAGTCTGCTATTCAAACACACGCCAGGTAAACACGGCTACAGAGGACCTTTCTACAAGTGTGCACGACATTGTAACCCAAGCAGACGTCCCCTGAATACAGATAAAAGGGCTTCGCTGGTGACTTGGTGTATTCCATTTAGAGACAAGCAGCTGGGAATGATCATCCGCAAACCGCGAGCCCCCGGGCCCTGTAAACGTCAATGTGCTGGACGCGGCGCCGGTACCTCTCTGGCGTTCTCCTGGCCCACCAGCCCGGCGGCAGCCTGCTTCGCCATCCCGGCCTCGTCCAGCCCCAGGCCCTTGACATGGCTGTGCGTAGCGATGCGCTGGGTTTTCGTGGTGCTCTTCACTTCCTCGATCTTCATGCCTGGACACACGGTTCAAATCGTTCCGGCGGCTCTGAAACCTGGGAGACTCCTTACTGCGTGATGCTGGACGGTTAACGCCGGCGCGCGTTTCCATGTGGGTAACCAAGGAGGTGGAGGAAGTTCCGCCCTCTCTGTCAGCGGCTTTCCAGTCGCAGCTCTGATTGGTCAGATTTACGGAGACCTGTACAGTGATTGGATAGGGATGGTGTCTGTCTAACAGACGTCTTTTGACCCCGCTCAACTAGTGTTTTGTCGGCAGGATTTCTTTCCGCTGGTGTTGCTCCGCTCGCCGTCCCCATGGAAACCAAGCGTTTGGTTTTAGAGAAAAATACATTAAACTACAATAATAACAACCAATCCTGCTCATCGTTATTACACGCAACACGTTCGTTTTAAAGAAAATAATTGTGAAGATGAAACTACAATTTGTATAAGAATGATCTTATTGTAAATATCATGCCTTTTATCTCAAATTACTACTGTTCTACTGCGTTAAAAATTTAGTAAAAGTACAAGTTAAATAAGGCGTTAAAATGAAGTACATTTTAAAAGCAGATTACATGGGCTTATCAAACACATCTATAGGGGAAAGAAGCCACTCGACATATTTTAAGCTATCTCTTTTACTGCTTTTAACAATGACGTTTGTGTAGTATAGGAGGTTTAAACAAACCTCATAGTCAGGGCAGTCATCTGCACTGCTGCTGGTACTGGTACAGCAGAAACACAACAAACATGTTCGCCATCGGTGTTTCACAACGGAATGGGATAGTTGCTACACCGGAAGTGTAGTTTTTCCTGCGGGAGACAGCGCTGGAGTTCTGCAGGAGTTCCGAGAAATTGTGTTGCTTGATTAATTATCGCAGCGGCAACAACAGAAGAGAAACGCGGAAACGGGCAGGGTTCGTGTTTGAATCGCCGGGGCCCAGATTAGTAAGTTAAACCCGGCAACGTGTGGGTCTGCGGCAGGGCAGAGTCCAGTTGAGCAATCCGGGGATGGCTGCGATGGCCGGCTCGGCGGAGGGCGACGGCACCGCGACCCTGAACTTCAACGTGGGTGTGCTGGGCCATGTGGACAGCGGGAAGACCTCGCTGGCCCGGGCGCTGAGCAGCACCGCGTCCACGGCGGCCTTCGACAAGAACCCGCAGTCCCGGGAGCGGGGCATCACGCTGGACCTCGGCTTCTCCTCCTTCTCGGTGGAGCTGCCGGAGCACCTGCGGGAGCAGTGCCGGGAGAGGGGCTTCAGCCGCCTGCAGTTCACCCTGGTCGACTGCCCGGGGCACGCCTCGCTCATCCGCACTATCATCGGGGGTAAGATAGTGGCGTGCCGACAGTGCGAAGCCTCTCGCTGCTAACTCTGCTAACTCTGGGCCTCCTAAGCTGTGTCTGCTGCCTTTGATCTGCACAGCTGGTGCAAGTCCTGCAGCTCCGCAGCGTGCAAGTTAGGAAAAGGCGACTGCGTGCCTGGTGTCCCGGACCGGACCGGATTAGACCAGTGTCCAGCTGCTGTCCGCTTCCCGGCGAGAGCAGCTGAGCTGCCGTAGTTCATTCCCCAGGCGATGCCGGTCTCGCATGTCAGTGCTGTGGCCCCGCTGCAACCTCAGCTGCTCTGCAAGTTCCAATGCTAGTTTCGTAACTGCTGTTTTAAAGATGAATCCCGGGCGATGCCCTTCTGTTACTGCCGTTGACAAATACTGGCGAGGGGCCGTCGGTCGAAGATCTGAATTTTCTTTACATTTCAGGGCAAAGCTTAATGTCAGAACCAGTGGAGAGCCGCACAGGTGTGCGTCAGCGTCATCTTGCTGCAGGGTGTCTCTTGGGTCGAACCGGGTCCCTGTGTTGTGGGGTCGAACGCGAGGTCTGGCTCACTTTGCAGAGCTGTGTTGTGCTGCAATGCCAGCTGTCACCAGACGGTGGCACTGTTGCACTGCTATTGCAGAGAAAGCCTTGAGTTCATACGAGGGCCGCATCCAAGCCCGTGCAGACTACCGGCCGTCTTGAGGCGCAGTCCGTCGCTCTTGCACGCGGGTCTTAACTCCACCGTTCTTTTAGGATTTTCATCAAGACATGTGCATTTGCCTAGGCTGCAGTCAGGGCTGGGCTGTAGCTCCCCTTAACCATTTAGCAGCTTAATCACCCTGTAACTCCCAGCTCACAGCCCACTGGAGCTCAGCAGGTGTGAGCCTGGTCAGTACCTGGA